CAAAATTCTGCGCTCAAGTGTGCGAATACTTTTTTATACGTTGTATATATAGATAAATGTTAAATAATTACTCTTATAGTTACATTTAATATTTTTTGTTTTGTTTTGTCAGTCTTTTCTCCCACTTGCTTTTATAAGGCAGCTTTTTATGGGCACCATTAAACCAATATGTTTGATGGAACGGGGGATTTGCGTGTGTAATTTGTGTATGAATTGTGTGGGTGTCTATATTTGCGTGTGTCTGATACCATTTGATTGTGTTGTTCAAGGGATTTTCATTCAATAATATTTTTTGTTGTTGTCTATCAGATATTTGGGACCATCTTGAGGCCCACTGCAATTCTGATCGTATGCTTTTTTTGTTAAATGTCTAGGATTCGGTTTTTTCTTTTGTTTCTATCTCATTGCATATGTGTATTGATGTCGATGTGAATGTAAAAGTGTTGTAAGAAATAAGTGGTCTTTTTTAAGCTTAATTCTCGTTTTTTTTTCGGCGCTTTGTGTGCAAATTTCGGTTTGGGGCTTAATAAAAAGTTTGCCTTTTTTTAAATGGTAAATTCGAACAAATAGATAGAAAAATGATGAATTTTTTTTTCTCCTGGTTTTTTATTGGATATGCGCTATCAAGTGGCTGAGAGGCTAAAGCAGCACCAATAAAATAATTTTACATTACACATTTGAATATATGTGTTCGTTTAATTTTCATATTTTTAGTTCATCTTTCTTAAGATTTGCATCGTCGCATTCGAAGTCAGATTGTGTTTTTCGTAAAAATTGGATTTTTGACATTGATTTCATTTCTTGGTTTTTTTTTTTGCGCAAATATATGCTCATCACCTGCCTATGAATAATACAATAGAAAACTCAAAAAAGAGTAGAAAAAAAGTAACGATAAAAAATGTTTTGAAAACCGGTTTGATTTTTATTACTTCTTAGAATTAAAACATCTCCTTGAATTATTTTGTAATAAAAAGTTAAACGTTTTATTGCTCACATTAAACATTTTTTGTTTGTTTGTTTGTTTAAAAAAAACATAAGCTTTTGCACGAACATATCTATTTTGAAAATTCATCAGCGTTCTCGCATTTTACTTTCTATCAATGAACAAGTGTGTGTATGTGTATCGAAATGTTTGATTTTTACTTTTTTTATTCATATAGAACAAAAAATTATTTTTGAATGACTGAAATTTTATGCGCATAAAATTTTCATTTTGTGAAGCAACTTAGATAATCTGATTTGAAATTAATGCATATTATTATGTTAATTTACTTGATTTTTTTTTCTTGTCTTTGTTCAAATGTTTTCTTATTATTCCGCATCGATTTATTTTCATATTTTTAATCGACCTAAACATACGCTCATACAAATATCGTAAGCCATCAACTGAGATATGTGCAATGTGCATAATCAATCTTATGTCATAAATAATTAATCGAAAAATTGTACGAAAATTCGTTTATCAATTTTCCAGTCGTTTTTTTTTATAAAGAAATAATACACGTTGCGTATGTGCTCGTGAATGTATGCTTTTTTTTGTTTCAAAGTAAATTTGCTGATGTTTTTTTTTTCTTAATTCATTTCATTTAAGTAGGCTTCTTCGAAGTCGTGTACACATTTCATTTTGGGAATCTTATTCGTTCGTTTCTTTTTTTTATTTCTTAATCATTCGATTGAAATCGATTTGTTTTCTATACGCATTTAGAACTAAAATTGGTTTTATATCTCGATGCTAGGGGTTTTGTATGTCTCTTTCTCTCTCTAGTCATAGTTAAATTCTAACTAGTCAAAAACCTAAAATTTAAGCATGAGCGTCACACATAGCGGGTTGTGAGTGTGTATGTGTGTGTGTGTATGGGTTGAGTGTGTAGCGCACGATCGTTTACTGTTTCATTTTGTGTATTGTTTACTAACATAACTGGTTGATTTGACACCATTGTGGATCTTTGAAAGCGACGCTACTATAATATTCATTTAATTTTTTTTAATTTTTATTTTGTTCTTCTTCAATATCATCATTTCCATCTCTTTTTATTCGTTATCCTCCCTTTGCTCAACGTGTACAATATTGCTTACACAAAAAAACTGTTCATCTAGTGATTTTGTAAGACTAAAATTTTCTTTGTTTCATAATATGATTTGTGTGTGAGTGAGTGTTAAATTAATTCATTTTTGGAAAAACTTGAAACTGAACGAAAACAAAACAATGATATTGTAGAAAAGTGAGTGTGACGATATAACATTTAAATGTGATTCCAAATAGAGCAAATCGGACAATTGTTTGACAAGAAAATGAATGGAAAAATTGAAAAAAAACAACAAAATGATCCACGTGAAAAAATTGATTAAATTAGTGCGCAGTAAAAGTTGTGATTTTTTTGTATCTTTTTATTGTAAATGCGGGGAGAGGGGCGAAAAATCTAAATGTAGGCTTAATTTTCAAACTAATTCATTCCATATTTTTTTTTCTTTCGCTTTTTAACTGTTTCTGAATCTCTAAAAATCTTTACCGTAATTAATATGTTTATTATTACTCTTATTAGTTCTTTCCTGTTGGATGTATCGATTATACGAGTGTATTTATGCTGAAAGGACCCAGAAATGCATGCATAATACATATGTGGGTTTGACGTGCTTGTGTGAATTATAATGATCGCGTTTCTATGCGATCATTATCAAATGAATGCGTTTCCGAGTCCCTGTTTCGTTTTTTCCGTTTTTCGATCGCTTTTTTTCTCTCTCAAAAAAATTGTAATGTTTCAAATGTATGTTTCAAATTTTCTTTCATTTCGAAATTGTTTGTTTTATTTTTATGTTTTTTTTTTTTTTCATAGAATAGTTCATCTCGAATAAATTTTAAATACAATCTAAAGAAATCCTAGAAAAATATGTGTTTATCTGCTTTAAATTTTTTGTCATTTTTTATTATCTTTTATTTGCGACAAAAAAAAAAAAACGATACAAATCTTAGAAATTAAGAATGATATAAATTCGAATATTATGTAATATGTATAGAAATATTCACTTGTTTTGTTTTTTTATTCACTAAGACTTAATGAACACTGAGCGCCAATGATAGAGAAAAAAATTATTGTGCGATGCATTCGGATCGCACAAATTACTAGCGAATCAAAGTTTCGATGCGGATTCTCTTTCACAATTTGCTGTTTATTTTCCAGAAAATGTGTTGTATGTTTTTTTTGTTTTATTTTCTTAATTTTTTTTAGTAAACGCCTATGTATATAGTTTTTTTTTTTGATACTACTATCGAATTAATTTCGTTTTGGAAAAGAGCTTTTTCCAAATGTTTACATAATTTCTATAAAAAAAAGAGTTGGACTACAATGAGTCGTGCTCCGATGGATTTGAAAATGTCTCCTTCGATTGATTCGTGTTTCGTAAGTTTATTTAAACGTGCTTTTTTTCATTTCCGTTTTAACTCATTTTTTCTGCCATTATATCGGGGTTTCGAACGCACTTTCTATTTCTAAACAATTTATTGATTACATCAGTAGTATTTGTTTCATTTTGCATAAAAACATATATTGTCCTTATATCATATCATTTTTCTTCCTATAAAGAAACAATAAAATCATTGGATTCAAACACGAACGTAACATAATAACAAACATTTCTCTCTTTCTCTCTCTCTCTCTCTCTCTCTTTTGAGGATTTGACGTAAAAGAAAATAGAAATAATATAAAGTAAACAACACATGAGATAAAAAGAAGAAAAAAATAATGGGTTAAGTCACTGCCAATAGATATATGGCTGCAGCTTAACATTATTACGGTTCTATGAATTTTTTTTTTCCATTAAGGAGCATTGTGTATTTCGGTTCGTTTTATTTATTTATTTTTTTATTTGTTGGTTTTTTGTGGAGGGGTGGAAGTATTTTGGAATATGTGTATCATTGCCCAACAAATTGAAGCAAAATGAAAAAAAAATCGGATGTGAAATGAAAATTGTGTGCACCGAATCGTGGGAACTGAAGGGCACATAACATACGCGCATTCTGGTCGAAATAATCATGTGTGTAACATTTCTTCTTTTCACACACACCAAAATAATAATAAAAAAACGCTGTTTAGAATGTCTCAAAGAAAAAATAAACTGTGAATTTTCCTAATCTTTGGAAAAACTAGCAAAGAAAATTCAAAGAAAACCTCAATATATAAAACTAAAATCAGTCCGCTGATGGAAAATGAGTGATGAACTCAGTGATTTCTTCTTTTTTTTATCATACAAATGAATTAATAGCAATTGATGCCAATAGCTTTCTCTATTATTATGATTGAATTTCATTTTTCGCTTTTGTTTCGGTTACATTTGGGATTTCTTGTTTGTCTTGATTTGCCTTAGACTTTGTTTTTAAACAAAATGCAGTTCAATAATTGATATTTGTTTTTTTTTTTGTAGTTTTCGTTGATGAATCTATCAGTGTGTACGTATTTTTTTAGGACAAATCAGCTTTTCATTTTATTTCTATACTTGATTTTTTTTATAAATGTCAAAAAGATTTTTTTTTAGTTGCTTAATCGATTGGGTTTTTTTCATGTTTTTTTGCCAATATAAATAGAAGTTAGTTAACATTAAATTCTAAATTATTTTTAAGGAGAAAAGAAAAGAGTGTGTTAAAAAAAGAGAAAAAGAAAAGTACATGCATAAAAATTAAATAAAAGAAAAACATAAAAATTGAAATATTAATCGTATGAATCCCAAAGTCGTGTAATCTGATGGTTTTTCCGCAATTGTATGTATGGGTTCTGTTTGTTATTTTTTTTTTTGTTGATCAGTTTCTATTGTTTAAGCTGATTCTTTTTTTTTTCTTGTTTCTATGTAACTATGTAATTAAAAAAAAGTAAACGTATTTGAGATTGAAAAATCAAATAACATAAACAAAATGGAAATGGTGGACATAAGTTTTTGTTTGTTTGTTGTTGAATTGAGTTCGTATGTGTTTGTGTTGTTGTTGTTGTTGTTTTTTATCTTTTATCACCTATGGATCTATTGAAAACTTTTAAAAACTATCATGTGTGTGTAATTTTAAAATTATTAAAAGTAAAAAAAAATAAGAAGAAGAAATAGAGAAAAAGGATTATGTGTAATATTAAAGTGAGACACGAAAAATCACATAGACGCTATTTCTGTTCAAAACAAATAAACTACATCAAAAAACGAAATTAGGCGAATTTTCCGCAGTCTATCGGTTTTTCTTTTTCAATGAATTTTCATTAATTTCAAATTTTTTTTTTCTTCTTTTCGCATTTTTGTCTTGATTTTGCATGCTTAGTTTTCTTCGTACAGCTCTACACAAACAACATGTGTATTTTTTTATCTCTTTTACTTCACCAATTGTGAAAAAACGTGTTATTGTGATTTTTTATTATTATTATTATTATTTTTATCTTCTTTTTTCATTAAATTATTTTCCTTTTAACTCCAAGCTGCATATGTATCCGTGTACCATTGTTCGCCATTTGCACCCAATGGTTGTTGAGGCAACGGTTGACTTCCCCAATTATTTCCACCATTTCCTAAAATTAAGCCACTTGCGTAACGTCGCTTCGGATCCCCTGGATTTTGGTGACCGCCATCAAATTTACGTTTACCGACTACTACAGGTTTCATTTTTTTTTTGGTGGATGAAAAATGAAAGAAAAAAGAACAGAAACAAAAATGAAAACGAAAAAAAAAACGAAAATTGATTAAAGTAAGAAAATAAGCAGACAATTTATTTTTTAAATTTTGTGAATTGATTTTTGTTTGTTTGTAAAAAAACATAATCTAAAAATTTAACGCTCAAACAGTATATTTGTATGTAATTTGTATCGTGATTACTGTTTAATTTCATTTCGTTTTCACACATACACATGATACAATTACAATAATACTGTTTGATGAATTTCAGTTTTACTTGATCATTTATCCAAAGGTACGTTATGTTTGGGATATTCTTTTCTCTTAAAAATTAAGAAAATTATACAAATAAAACTATGGACCTTATGTGAATAGAACAAATCAAATTAAATTGAATGAATAAATTAATAGTTTAAGGAAATTGGTTTTGTGTATGTGACCGAAAATTAAAAAACACGAATAAAAACAATTGGATGGAGGATACAAATTTTTGAATATCGGAAACAGTGTTTGACAAAGATAAAAAAGCACACACTTCTATTCAGATATAGATAATTATCTATAAAAAATGCAAGAAAAATATTTAAGATATATTATGTATTCATTGAAATGATCAAAGAAAACTCATCGCTATATGGATAGAAGTTGCATTTTTAGAAAATATCTAGAATGTCTTTGCCAAACTCTGTATTGGAATGTTTCTATTATTATTCAAAAAAACAGCTTTAACGCTATAAATATTTTTGCGCAAAATCAAATCATCAAATTAATGTTATATATAATAAAGAAGATGATAATAAAAAAAATAATGTCAAGAAAGTGGAGTCGAAACAAATATATGCATTTGAAACAAAAAACCAAAAAAAAAAGTGTTGAATATGCAAAACGGGCTTGAGATTAGAGCATTAAGATAGTATGATTATTGATATAATTTAAAGAATAAAAAAATCAAATGTATGTGTATTAGGTGTATGAGCGTGTTTGCGTGTGTGTGTTTGAGTGGAGCATGTATTGTGTGAGATGAGAAAACTTATTAAGCTGTGTAACTAAATGTGCATTGGCTATGTGAACAGTGATCGAACGTGTTTGTTTGCGATATTTATGAACAAAATCTCATTTCATATAGAGCGAACTGTATAAAAATACAATTAGCTCGATATATCATTAAAAATGCTTTGTGACACACATTTGGATGTATGAAATCTTCACATGTGTTGGCATTTAAAATGTGAACGCAATGTTATGTCCAAACATTAAGAATATAAAAGAAATTGACTGGAAAACTGAAAGATGCCATTTTACGCAATATTTTTTATTTTGTGTATATTATTTATCGATCTCACAAGAGGCAAATCCGACAAATTATTTTCGAATTCCGACCATAATATGAATTTAAAAGGTTTCTCTCAATATATACTCATATTAGAATCGGTTCAAATTATATCGAGTTTGTCTTTTGTGTGTAATTTAGCGCTTTAAAAATCGAATTATCTGTCATACCGAAATTACATATAGAACCATTAGTAGCATAATATGTACAACTATGTTTTGATATGTCAGTGTCATCGAAAGTGGGAAAAGTTTTAAAAGCACAGTTTGATAGAAGATGATATGCGTAGCGTAAAATAAACTTTTATTACACGGAAAATTTTCGTTGCTCACTTCTCAATAAAATTCTAGTTAAACCAAAAAAAAAAAAAAAAACAGAACAAGCGGTAATGAAGGTAGAATTGAGGTAAAGTGATTTGGCAGAGAAAATTGCATGGATTTTAAATTATGAATCAAAAATGTTATGCGAGTAATGTATATGAATTGTTATGTATTATGTTAAGGTGTGTGGGTGTGTGTATGTGTGTGAATGTGTGTAAGAGAGTGAAATGCGTATGTGTTGTGTTTGTGATATATGGTTTGATGCAAGAAATATATATATTCAATAAATCAGGAACATTAGGTGACAAACTATGTGTATTCAAAATAATGAAAAAAACACATATGTAAATAGTATGAGAAAGAAAAATCGGAATGATGACTACAATGTTTTTATATAATTTTCTATTCCATATTTGAAGCGTCAATAAATTGTTTAAAGAAAATAGAAACAAAAATGATAGAAAGTACAAAATGAAACACTTATTTGCCGGCTGTTTAAATAAATTCAGCATTCAATTGAGGTGCAATTCGTAAAATGTTTCGTACAAAAGCTACAAATATTCTGTTTTTGTTTTTAAGTCACTATACGTGTTTTTTTCTTATTATTTGACACCATATTTAACAGTTATTTCATATGCTTTTTTTATCTTCTCAAATTCAATGTATTTACTTTTGGTTGCTTGAAAATGAAACAAGTGGAAAATCTTTTTGCAGCTTACAAGCTCAATGTTTTGTTAATTGATTTCTCATTTGTGTTTCGAGCTTTTTTTTTTTGAAGAATAATTTGTTAATTGTTGCTGAAGCCATTTTTATGAAATCAATAACGACAAATGTATATGTAAACAATCCAAATATATCAACAAAATGCCAACAGCAAGTACAAAAAAAAACAATTAATTAATTGCATAGTTTTAAAAAAGCACATACATATCGGCTTTTTGCACGAAAAATGAGTGGTCGTCATTTTTACATGCCATGTTTGTGCAGATTGTTTTCGATTCATTCACACCATTTAGAGCATATTGTTTTATTTGGATTGTTTGCCAAGATTTTCAAATCAAATTAATGTGTTAATACAGCGCACAACAACACTGCTGCCATTATCCGATACATATAAATTGGTTTTTATTGGAAATAAATTTAAAACAATAACAAAAAAAGAGAATAGTATATGAAATGTGAATAAAATGATTTTTAAAAGAGAACAATATTATGCATAGATTATTTTTGAATGTTTGAATTTAAGCTAGTTTTAAATCCCAGTTCCTTGTGTTTTTGTCGCAAAATTGACAAAAATAGGCCAATCATATTCAAAAAAACATGTATTTTTTTGTTTGTTTTGCATTTATCGTGAACTTTCAAACTATTTCCAGCATCAAAACATTTGCATGTACGAAAATAGTTAACCCCATCAGCTGAACTTTACATATTTGGACTCTTTTGAAAAAAAAAAAAAAAAAAAAAAAATTGTATCACACGACATGTACAACGGTTGCACTCAATCATATCTCTCTCAAACTACACACCCCATTACACACATTGATCAATTCGGTTCACAGGTTTTTTTCTTCTCTCTTTTGGTTGTAGGGAGGATGATATTTTCACTCGCTCAATCGCTTAAAACTGAAATCTGAAATTTTATTAATGCCGAGATTTCAAAATCGATTGACAATCAAATTTTGCCGATATTAAAGCAAGTATAGAAATCTGTTCACAAATAAAATCGATTTTTTAAGCAAGCGTGTGAGGGAGAATGATCAAATGGTTCACAGGGAAATAACGAATTGAATAAAGCCCCCAATCGATTATAAATGATATTGCATGCTTAAGTTTAAATCAATGAAATGCCATTTTTTTGCGTTGGACTTTGATTTGGAAAGAAAAAAGTTCACATGCAAATAAAAACGATCCTAACCGAGATGCCTGATATCCGAAAAAACCACGTGTTTCTTCCATCTAATGCCATTCACCCGTTTATTTGTTTGTTTTTTTTTTTCGTCGTAAATACGATTTGGTATGGAGCTCATATTTTCGAGCGAAATTAACACTATCTAATCAATTTCATTCGGCCATTTTTTTCGACACTTGTAATTTTTAACTGCGTTGCATAGAGTTACAACGAACGGGTGATGAGAAGCTAAGAGAAAAGTGAGACATACGGGCAAACATAAAATTATGTGTTTGTATATGTGTGCATGTGGAAACAATGTAATGGAATATAAGCGGTTCAGTAAAAAAACATTAAACAAAATAAAAAACACCTCGCATTTAGCAAACGAAACAAAAATTAAATTAATTGAGCTTAAAGTTAATGTCGTCAATTTTTATGTTAAATACATAATCCTGTAACAATTTGAGCTCATTTCTATTCGATTTTCATTTGGCTGTCTGAGTTAGATTTTGAAGTGACTTAAAAAGTATGTTCGATTGAAATAAAGATAGATTTTTCCTATGTTAATAAAAGTGGTTTATGGTTTGGAATCTAATTTTATATAGAATATTGTCTGTATTGGAACCCTAATGGCTCTCAAGTCGCCGTTTTGTACATATACTTTGTTTTTTTTCTGTTTTTGTTTAACAAAAAAAAAGGGTTTTGGTTTTTATGAATAATTTGAAATTGCTGTGCGCGTTCATCACAATTATCGAATGTGTGAATCAACAAGTTCGGCCATGCGTTTTGTTCCGACTAGAATCTCGATTCGATTTGTGTATTGTATAGAACAGCAAACAAAAAAATTAGAACAAATCATGATCAAACATGTGTGCAGACCTTTTCATTGAAAAAGTTTTGGCTTATTGACAAATGTGCACTGATTGAGAAGAAACGAAATCATTTGATTCAATATCCAATTTGTCTAAATGAAACTCACTGTCAATACGCCATTTTGCACGCTGATTTTTATTTTTGAATTTTAAATTGGTTTTGTCTGTTTGTTTGTTTTTTTTTTATCTGTAATATATTTTGGTTTTGGTTTGGTTTGGTATGTTTTATACTCATTGTTTTGGTTTTTTTTTTTTCAAATTTTGGATTGTTTTTGATTGTCTATATATGTTTTTTGTTCGTTATCGGTCTGGATGTACTCTCACCTGTTGTATTTGGCAGTGGCTTGCCTCGCTGAGTGCCACGAACGTTGAGATGTGCTTGTATTCCACGGTAAGCCGCGGTTATTGGAGCTACCACGTTGAGACGTTGAGGTAATTCCTCCAGATTGATGCCACGGAGCCCAACGGCTCGGGAAGGCACTATGATTCCACGACAATGACCAACTCCCTACACAGTAGCACATTCGATTAGGATTTTTTAATTAAGTTTTGATTGTTGATTTGGATTTTTTTTTTTTTTTTTTTTTTCAAAAAAGTTTTTTCCTCGAATTGTTTGTTCGTAAATGACTGTTTAAGTTGGACATTGGTTCAATTGCTTTTCAATTCCCTATCTATTATTTTAAATAATTTTTTTTCTCAAAATTTTCAATTTGAAGTAATTATATTAAGCTTTATTTTCGAAAAAAAAAAATATATTGTTTATGTAGTTGTCATTCGCATCATTGCTTTGTTTACTTTTTGATAAAAGATAAAACTTTAACGAATGAAATACTGAATTGAACAAAGAGAATAGAGGAGAAGGAAGCAAATCGAAGACATAAAGCGGGTTGTTCACTGTTCGTTTAAATTATTTTTTTTTTTGCTGGAAATTTTGATTTGAGCACAGAAAATTCGCACACATCTGCAACCATATTTTTTTGTTTCGTAATTTCGAATGAGATATGATAAATTTGTAACGAATTGAATAATGTGAATATTGTTTTTAATCTCAAGAATTTACTTGTTGTTTTTCAGATTTTGAGTTTCGAAATGAAAATAAAATAAAATTCAAAACATTCGAGAAACATTTGGATTACGATTAAAATGAATGCCTTGTTACGAAAATGCCATCGAAAAATGAAAATGTCAATAATTGCGGGCGTCACATAATTTGAAATTGAATTGAAACTAAATAACAAAGCATATCAAATTCATAAGACAATTAGTGTGCTGGTAAGTGGATCACTGTGCATAGATTTTATTTGTTTGGGGTTTTCATTAAATGAACAACGAAATAATTTGTTTTTGTCATCGGAACAAAAAAAAACTCAATTTTGAAGAAAATAAAATTGGAGTTATTTTTGCTGTGCCTCTACGTTATTGTTTTTGAAATCATTTTCCATTTTTTTTGCTCTTGCCAAAATATATGACAAATCAGAAATTTACAAAAAAAAAAAAGAGTCAATTAATGAATTTTGGATTTTTTTTTTCATTCAGTTGTTTTAGTTTTTCATTCGTTTTGTTTTCCATTTGGTGATGCATCGAATCGTTAAGCTACTTTGGAAAGTGGAATTTATATGTTACGCTTTGATTAGTTTACATGAAGCAGTTTTCAAAACACTATGTATTATGTTTGTGGTTAAATGTTAGAATATATATAAATATATACTGTCAATGGACTCAGTTTAACGGGAAGTAAGTGTCTATATGCAGAGAAATTGTTAAGTTATTTGTTTTGATTTTTTGGGTGTTGGAGGTTTTTGGGGGTTGGGGGGTAACGCAAACAGAAAAATTAATTTTTGTTAAGATAAGAAATTTGAAAATTAACACAAATATTATTAATCAAATGAACTGCGACGTATCTAACAGAAGCTGCTTTTATATTGCTCACAATAGCACCTCAGTAGAAATGAACATTGATCATTCAATACATCAACATTTTAATAAATTAAAAAAGAAGAAAAAAGGTTTTTTTTAAATTAATGAAGGACAAAGCAATATCATATAAAAACGAGAAAGCATTAGATTTGTTTAAAATAAAGCGTAAAAATAAGCAGTATGAATAGATAAAATGAAAATAGACAGAAAAATATAAAAATGTAAAAAAGCGGTTGAAGCAGATTAAATAAAAGATGATCAAATAAATTGGGATAAAGCTAAATTTTGGAAAAGAAAATATATAAACACCAACCAATCTCGTAGATTTTCAAGAGATTTGTGACATTTATATCGAAATTTATTTGATAAAAAGTGTAAACAAAATTTGAAGCTTAAATAAAATTAAATTATAAAGAGAACAGGTAAATAGACTGGAGTTATACAAAAACAGAGACTGTTCCTCAGAGCAATAAATGAAAAGAGTAGAAGTTCTGTGGAGCCAACGGGGCGCTGAGGAACAAAGCTCCTCTACAGCGAAATTTTTGTTGAAAAAATATATTTTAAATATTTTTGAAACTTTTAATATTTCGCTCCTTACTTAAAAGCTCTTCTCCTATGTACATCGCCAGCTCCTCAGAGCGCTACTCCAAACATTTATTACTCTGTGAAACAGTTTCTGTACAAAAGGAACGGGCTTGAAACGAGAACAAAATTAATGACAAATTTATATCTATTTAATGCACTTGTTGATACCAAACTATCGAAAAATTGCGAAAAACGCAAATTAACTGCAAACAAATTTGAATCGGGTCTGTGAGCAATGGCAACTCTGAAAAAAATATATATGAAAAATGGCAATTATTTTGCATCGTTTTTATATTCAGAGTTTCCATTGATCGTTGCCGTTCAATTCGCATATTTCTTGCGGTTAATTGTTCACATATTTTTAGTAATTCAACATCAAAACACGAATTAAATTGATACAAAAGTGATATCAATTGCATTCTCACTTAGAACCGGCTTCTTCATTCTGACTGACTGGGGAATTTGTAAAACGGGAAAACGGCCGTCACAATTAAAGTTGTGCTTTTTATTGATCCCTAACCCTGATCGTTCGAGTATTCCTTAGCACTTTCCTACGCGCTGAGTACTATGTGTGTGTATTTATGTGCTATTTGTGTATATGTATGAGAGAACGCGAAACTCGGAACCAATTTTGATAAAATATGTGTTTTGTGTGAGTGTTCGTGTGTGTATGTTTGTGTGTGTTTATGTGTGTCACATATGTCATAGAAAATGATTTTTTTTTCTGTATTTTCGATAATTCCCTCAAAACTCAATTTTGTGTAAGTGTTTCGTGTATGTATTTTTTTATGTTTTTATTCATGTTTATTCAGTTTTTGTTTTCGTATACGAAATTTTGTTTTGTTGTGTGTAGTATTATGTACACCCACCGATATGTTTCTGTTGTTTCTTTGATTTGTGTTTTGTGGCCCTGTACCACTATTCGCCGTATATTCGAAAAACTGTTCTCCATCGTATGAACGAAAATAATCATCATAATAAGAATCATTGTATCCGCCCCGATAATCAGTATAACCATAAAGGTCGTAATCATAATCTACAAAATTGTTAGACATATGTATTATAGAATAGAACAGCAGAAGTAGCATTAGGAACAGTTAATAACTATAGCATTAACAATTAATTATTTGTTTTTTTTTTTTTTTTTTTTTTTGATAAATTTATTTATAAATCTTGACAAACTAAACGATTTTGATAAATCGATTTATTTTTGTTCAGAAAATAAAGAAAGTAGAAGAGTTTTGTTGAAGTTTTAGAAGATGTACCATAGATGATAGAAATAGAGATAGAGACAGAAAAAGAGATAGAGAGATAATAGATATATATGTATATACTTAAACAGAGATACGTTAAATGGCAAAAAATCATATAGTTGAAGTTGCGAATTAAAACTATAATTCCAAAGAAAAAATCATAATTTGAAAGAAAATATACTCAAGCAAACTCAAGAATCAAAACAATTAAACAGTAAAGGTTTCATTATTTTTTTTTTGTTTCGAAAAGAAATGAATAGATAATTGGTTTTCTTTTGTTCGAATTAGAGAATTTCGAGTCGGGAAAGAGAGTCAATAATATATACCAGCACTACATTTATAAATATATTTCGATTGACAACATTATGGTCACTGATTCATATCAAATTTCGTAATCGAATTTCAATTTGGATTGGTCCTATATGTATAGTATATATTTTGTAGATAGATTTTTATTTTATTTGTTTTGTTTACTTCTAAGTATCCAATTAATGCATAATATATTTACTTTGCGATCAAAAAAGTACTTCTACATTTTGTTTTTGTACTTGTTTCGATTCAATTCGGATTTTGATGCTTCGAATGTTTTCATTTCCGTTTGATTTTGAAATGTTTTGCACATGTTTGTCCTAATACACACTCGCAAATGTACAATTTTCTCAATGTTTTTGTTTTTGTTTTTGTTTTGCTGCTGTTGTTTTGCTGTAGGTAGTTGTTTTTGCTTTATATTTTTGTTGGTCTGGGATGAGGGAATCAAGCAAAGAATTTAAGACCGCATCCATATCAATATGTTTCAGTGCGGTAAAAACGCCATTTCTAGCATATGCATTAATTCGTACGCACACTGAACCAATGCGATAAGAAATTTTGGTCAATAGATTCATTGCTGTATGTGCGCTGCCATGTTTTAGCGCTTCAATTATTATTCAAATGATTATCATATCAATTTAAAAAAAAAAATGAATTAACAGAATATACTCATGTGAGCCAAACAAAACGAAAAATTGATCGAATCCAAATATCAGGTCTACATTCGCAATGTGCCGAACTGCGGAAAATCAAACAATCACAACAAAAATCTGAAAACTCCATTTTTTTGTCTATATTATCCAATTAAATGTATGTGTGTGATTTATTCATCTTTATATTATTATATTTTTTTTTTTGTTAAATTTTACCGAAACAAAACCAATATGTGTATATATAATTCAATAGCAAACGCAGTACAATACAGTACATTCAAAATACTAAAAACTCTCTGATTAGATCATGTTTATTATATAAATGTTTTTGGGTCAAAATTTCGGCTGAATTCCATTTTTTTTTTGCTTCAAATATTTTCCTTTGTGTTCACCAAAATATATTTTTTGTTTTGCATTTTTGATAACTTTTTAGCATTTGAAAATATTGTGTTTTCATATATGTATATATTTTTTTGTCAATCTCTTTTTGAGTATGTGATCATTGGCCTATTTTTGTTTTTTATTTAAAAAAAAAATTGTTTTTGATTGATTGATTCGGTATGGTATGCAAATACATGACAGATTTTTTTTTATTGAGGACATGCAATACGGTATAGTGAGTTCCTTCACTACGGAGAAAGGGATAAACATAATTTCTTTCGGTTTGTTTGAAAGGGATTATGCCACATTTTGTGAGCTACATTTATACTGCATTTTAATGGGTTATTTGATTTACTCCTATACATACATACAAAGATTCTATGGAAAAAAATAAATTAAGTATATATATAGATAAAATAAAAATAAAATGGTGTGTATGTGCCATGTTGTTGAAAAAGGAAAACAATTGAACAAAAATAGACATCAGAAGCAGCCAGTTTGATACAAAAATTAGTTTTTCAATAGCACTTAATTGAAGATTACAATAGAACAGAACTGAATATTGGTACATATAATTAAAATGTGTCATGCTCATGGACAGACCCATATTATTATTTCCTATTTATAATGTTTTATAAGGGGTCGATCGATCGATTTCAAGTGGTCGTATCGATTATCATTTCAACCAAACAAAAAAATTAGAGAGAGAGAGAAAGAGAAGAGTAAAGAGATATGTACAGGATTGTCTACAGTGCATCACCATAGTTAAACAAAATCTTCGTCTTTGTCATTCAAGCAAATCTTAGGTCAGATCATTTCGATCGTCGTCGTTGAACCAACAAGATTTTCACATTCAAATAACTTTTGGCACATGTAGAATACCCCACAATTACAAAAAAAATATATTTGCAAGCATTTTTTCGTTTCATTAATAATTCAAATAATAATTAAATTAACAAAAAAAAAATAGTAAAAAAATGTGATGTGTATGTGTGTGTGGAAGAAAGAGACAATGTGAAATTGCTCAATAATTTGGTTACTTTAAACGAATTTGATTGGATTTTGATATCTTTCATTATGGTTTTATTTACTTTTATTCGTTTTCTATTGCAAAATCAAATTTAGGCTTTGAAAAACTACATTTTGACTCTAGTTTTCTTTAATCAGAATAGAAAAACAAATACAGAAAAAAATTGTAGATAAAAAAACGCATGCGAGATATCCTTCGATTTATTAGCGTAGCTACAGGGATCTAATTTGTTTCTTGCAAATCAAAAGAAATAAAACCAAAGCTACCGAATGAGCGAAATTACGTTTGAAACAAATATTTAAGAAAAACAAAAATAATCAAACTAAGGCGATTTCAAACAACAATTTTTGACTAAAAAAATTTTAATATTGGTTTTTCAATACGATGCATATGTACTTTTAATGCTTTTTTGCTTGCATTGACCGCAAAACTGAATTGAAATGCGTATGTTTCATCTCGCCTAACAAGATAATTAGCAATAACAATTAGATTAATGTGAATAGAATTGAAAAAGCGTTTTGGCGACGCTCACATTTAAAAGAAAATACAACATATACTTATATGCAAATAGAGATATTTATTTGTAACTTTCTATCAAACATTTTTTTTGTTTCCAATGCACTTCAATAGAGCTTCGGTCAATAAAGCGTAATCAAAAGTAATTAGTTTTGTATCAGATTTGTTTATTTTATCTCCAGAAAAAAAAGAATAATAAGATAATAATAGAATCAAAAATTGATACCACAAGAACATAAATGAACACAAAAAAAAGATTAGGACGAAAATAATTATGAACAATGTCGGAACTAAAACATTTGTCGAATTAATTTAATAGTAATTTAATGAACAAATTAAAAAAAAACAGGTCGACTAGCCTATGATTTAAAGTGGATCATTTCGTATAAATTTGTTTTCTTTAAGGGTAATTTACGTAAGCCAACGAACAAATTTGAACCGGAAATCGCATATTCTATTGTTTTGAATTGTATCAATTCAACATTTATATCTTAAACGGCATTAAAACTGATCATAGTAGTTATATCGAAAATTATTCAATTCGAAGCGATTTCGTGGCGCAAATGTTGATCTTCTCTTTGACTTTGTAAAATAATTACGACAATGGAATTGGTCGAATTCGTAAAATTGAATCATAGATAACTCACCATAATCACCTCGTGTCATTGGTCCCCGCAATGGCACTCGTGCTCCAGCTGGTGCTACACCTATAAGACATGATGTAAAAACAGATGTTTGGTATTTAGTTCACTCAATGTGAAAAACGAAAAGCACATGAAAACAAAATTGGCAGTTTTAATCGACTTACCTACGCCTCTCATTGGCGGCAAACCCGGTGGTGGTATCATGCCAGGATGTGTAGGTGACAAGCTGCTGTAAATTCAAAATGAAAAAAAAAAAAACGTAAACATCAATAAACACGACAAAAGTGGTTCAAGAAAATCAACAATTCAGAAAATAATGTGAAAATTCTTATGGAAATTCAGCTTTTGAACTAACCCTACGACGCCAGTTCGACCTTGCATCATAAGTAGCATACGTCGTTCGCGCGCTCTCAATACTTCTTCCTTCTTCTTTTTATCAGACGGTGGCTTTGCCAGTGAAACCTGAACCAAGTTAAAAATGAATTAAAACGATGCAATAATATGTAAATGAAACTAATGAATTGATAATGAACATCGGATCCACATACTTCGATATTCGAACATCCTAGTTCTTTGCCATCAAGACCACGCATAGCTAAAACGGCATTATCTCTATCCTCAAAATGCACAAATGCATAATCTTTAATTTTCTTAACACGTTCCACTTTTCCATATTGTTCAAAGCTTTCTTTCAGCTTTTCTTCGCTTATATCTTGTGTCAAATTGCGTACGTATAATACTTTCACTTTGCTCATTGTTGATTCATCTGGTTCTTCTTGAGGATCGGCCCAATCGACAATAATATCACAACCCCAGACCTATAATCGATGAACGTAAATAAACGGGATAATTAAGTTGCTGCTTGATCACCATTTTGCGACATTCATTCACAAACAAACCTTAATGCGTCCAGTTCCGAGTCTTCGTTTGGCCAACGATGCTGCCTTATGTGATTCATACTCCAAGAAACAAAATCCACGATTTTTCTTCTTATCGTCAGGTGAACTGTAAATGATCACCTCAACAAGACCGGCTGAAAGCAACAGAATAGCGATTAGCACATTTTAGTATGCATATTATTTATCAATAACTTTACCCCCTCTCATTTTTTTTTTCTCTTCATTATTTGCTATTCTTTTTTTCTTTGTTCAAAAATTTTTCCAAATCAAATAAAGTTCATGAAAATACATATTTAATGAGCCGTGTTTTGTTTTCCAAGTTTAAAAAAAAATTAACAAAATTTTTTTTTTGTTTTTGAAATAGCTCTTTGGTTATGTGTATATGTGGCTTTTTTCAATGGATTCAATAATTTTTGCTCCCAATAAACCAATGCCAAAACCGCGTTCTATTCGAAAGCTTTTCACAAGTTTAATCAACTTAAATGGTTCTCAATCATTTCGATTTGTATAGCAGTAATTTTTTGTGTTTATTTTTCACCGGTTTGGTAGCTTTTTTTGTAAGTATTGGAGTTTTGGTTGGTGCGGGTTGTTTTTATGGTTTTTTTTTTTGTTTTTTATTCGATCGATTAGTCATTTAATGGTTTCACATAGTGATAATTATGTACAACAACCTTTTAATTACATAGTGACAGTGAATCGAATGTGCAACTAACAAATTATTTCATGCGTTGAATTTGATATGTATTTTTTTTTTTTTTTTGATCTCTTCACTTTGGACGGTCTGATTATATTTTTGGCTCTGATTTAATCGGTTTTATTTGAAAGAATTAGCGCTTTGCGCACTGTGTCGTTAGGCCAAAAACAACAACAACAGTTACAGATTTTTATCCGATTTGCATTTGTTGGTTACACCTCAAAATAGCGGTACAACGTTATCAATATGGTTTACAGAGTTAGCCGGAATATTTGAATAGACACTGATATATTTCGAAAGAATGACAAAGAACAGAGTGTTTTATATACATAAACTTAACTAAGAAAAACTTAAAATTTGGGGAAGAGGGAAAACAGCATACATACTTCTAAATGTTAAACGTGATTACGTACTTATCTATGCAAAAACAAAATTTGATTGTTTCTCTTTCGTTGAAAAAGAATCGTTTTTTTGTTGCCGTTAATTTCATTTGATTGTTTTTGATCTGATGAATTTGTCCGGTTAAATAATTGCTTTGGATCCAATATGTGCAAATTTTCAGTCTCCAGTCATTAATTTTTATTTAGTTTTTGTTTTAATTGTCAAAACAAATATTGAATTTTTGTGTATGGCAGTGTTTGGAAAACAATTTATCTAGATAAAAGATAAGATTTTATCTTATTTAAAGAAAATCATCTTATCTCAATAAAAAAATATCGATAGAAAAAAAGCGAGTTCCGAACATTTTCTTGTCTAAGATGACAAGAAAAGTGATAAAAATTGTGTGGATAAGACAATAGATATTATTTTATCTCATCTAATCTTAAATTTTTACGATAGATAAGATTATCTTCGACAACACTGTGTATATATATAAGTGTGTGTTTGTGTGTGTGTGTGAGTGTATTTGTATTGCATAGCAAATGCAATTGAATTGATTTCGTTTGGAGATAAGTGAAACAGCAAATTGGAAATCCAAATAAAAAAATTGCACCAAAAAAGGTGTCCATTTCATAAGAGAACTGAAAGTGACCAATAAGGCCAAAAAACGGTGGTAGCATTAAGCGATTTTGCCTGCTGATCAAATAAAATTTGTTATTTATTGCAATGAGCTAAAACCGTGTATGTTTGTATTGTAACTGTTACCGGTACTCCTTTTGTTTAATCCTCGATTGTATCGTTGAGGATTTAAATAAATTTGAAATGGAATGCATGTTAAATCATACAAAACAAAACTTAACAGATGCGAATTTGGCAATGATTTAAATGAAATTGGTAAGCAAAACTAAACACCCAATGACGAAATTTCGATTCTATGTGTTTAAATAATTGATTGATCTGGTTTTTTATTTTTATTTTTCAATGGTCAAAATTTTGTTAATTCATTTCAGTGACGAACATAATAACCAATTGGCTTAATTGTGTATGTGTATTTCATTTATTTTTTGGTAATTTTTGATGTTCAAATCAACCTTTTTCAACAGCGACTGATTACGGCCATATATTCAGATTTGTGCCAAACCTCCAATCAAATGGACATGGATCTTTTTGTTCGTTTTAGTTTTCGAATGTTTGTTTTTGATTATTTTGGATGAAAATGGGATTTTTTTTCTTTCTTTTGATTTGTTTATTGCTTGGATTGTTTTTGGTTTATAATTTGTTTTGTTCATAACTTACGTGCATGTTTTGCAAATTCCTCTAATAATTCGTCGCGATCCCTATTCTTTGGTATATTTCCGACAAATAACCGATGATTATTAAACGATATCGTTACACCAATCTTTTTGCCTTTGCGAATTTCATAATCATTTAGCTGTAAGCGAATTTGTGGTTCGATTTTGATAACTTTTAGATGATTTTTTTTTAAATTTCTTCTTTACAGTAAATTTTTGTTTAAAATTGGTTTTTTTTTATTTTTGGTTTGATTGAAATAAAAAGGAAATTTGTAACAACAAACATATCACAAGTGTACAATAATTTCATTTGTCTTTGGTTTTTTTTATATGATAAAAAAGATAAAAGAAAATGGGAATAACGAAAATGGAAAACGAAAATAATAAGGAAATATTTTGTTGTAATGCATTCCCTAATTTTTATCAAAAGAAACAAAAACAACGGTAACGAAAATTATATACAAATGCATATTATGCGTTTTATCATACATGGATAGAGAGGCATTATTGGTATATCATCGAGAGAAAATAAAAGAGTCAAAAATAAAAGAATGTAAAACAGAAAAACGAAAAACGAAACAATCAAAACAATGACGGGTTAAAACAAAATATTCTTTTTTTTTAGTTCCAAATAAAGAAATGGATACCCGTGGTTCGGTTTGTGCTATTTCATACTTATATGCAGTTAATGACTGGAGATAATATTAATTTCTATTTTTAAAAAAATATATGTTGGTCGACGGAAGAGGAAAGCTTTTCTGGCGTATGGGTTTAATTTTATTGAATTTTTGGTATCATTTACCGTACCAAACGATCTATCCACAATTCATAGACTGATTAGGCATAACTATATCATTTCAAACCAATCGTGTTATATTAGATGTTTGAATATTCAATTTGGTTTCAAATAATTTCGATTTTCGGATTTAAAAATATGATACTTTTGAATAAATGCTAATTAAATTTAGCTTATTGGAGAATGGAAAATGGCATGGAAATTTGGATTTTTTTTAGTTTGGGCATAATTTTAATTAGATCGCCTCTAAATTGTAGATATGGATTTGAACGGTTGGTGGGAAAACGTTTCTCAAATATATATAAATATATAGATATTCTTAAAATTTATTTCACAAATCACAAGATGTACTAATATTTTTTTTTCTTTTTTTTTTCGTTTCGAATCTGATTATGAACAAAATATTCGTTTAAATTTTACATGACCATTATTTTTCACATTTGCAAATTGCTGAATCGAGCTGTTGATGATGCTTCCGCTGTACAAAATCATTGATATTACGATTAATGCATTCTGATGTCGCTGTATCGTGTATCAAATCAGTTTATCATGCAAAATTCATTCAATACAGAAATGATGTCTTTACAGTTCATTCGAGAGCGCAGTATACATTCAAATATTAAACTTTTATTATAAAATGGCGCGAAAGGCATTTCAAGTTTTTCGTTCAATATTTTACGCTGTTGATAGACAACATTCAATATAAATTGGAATGTATGACAGTATTTCTGTATGATTTTGGAATGATGAATTTTATTAAGATGTCTTAATTTTTTTTTTAAGTAAGACATATCTATTGAATGTTCAATGGAATCCAATTATGTTTTTTTTATGTTCACATGCATTCTCCTTATTTGATTTTGGAATTTCATTTAAAAATAAAAAAATAATTGCAAAAATAACAAAATGAAAAATTTCATTTGAAACTCGATGTACTTGATTTTGTTTCTTGATTTTAGATTGAGTGTTGTTGTTTTTTGTTTTTGTAAATTCCAATTACCTGTTAGTTTACCAAATTCGTCTAAAATCTCCTCTTTGCCTTTTGATTTGGGTATATTTCCTACGAAAAGGCGTAGATTCGGTACGCTTATGTTAATTTTCAAACTTTTGCCGGGTTTAATTTCATGGTTATCGAGCTGCGGGTTTAAAATCAAAATAATAATAGTAATAATAATAAAAATTGAAATAAAAACCATAATGACGGAGAAGTAAAAGAAAATAAACAAAAAAATTGATGGAAAATTTTGTTTTTTAATGATGTTTTTGTTGTCAAAAATGAAAATTAAAACAAAATTAGAAAATAAAAACGAAAAAGCACAATGAAACAGAAAACGGGAAACAAATCGGAATTTTATGGTTAGTTAAATTTTGTTTCGATTATGAATTTAGACATTTAACTAATGTTTTGACCAAATGTTTTATTAAGCCTGCCAAATATCGTTTTTTTCTTTTTCACTTTTTAAAAATAAAATTATAACCGACGAAACAGATGAAATCATTAAAGTGATTCACATAGCATATTCAATGTGTGTGAACGTGGTTCGAATCAAATATTAATGATTCCATCAAATAAACGTTAAAGTTTTGCTATTTATATCGTTTGTCCCAATTGTTAAGCCAAAAATCGATTAAATTCACTTGAACGTTTATCCGTTATGTTTCGCTATAAAATCGATTTTGAAACATATTATTTCTAAATTAATCTCAAAAGATCGTACAAATTCAAAGCAAAAAAAAAAAGAAGACGTTCATTCGAAATTTTGGATACATATCAAAAACAATAAATGTTCACGATTAGAAAACTGAAAACATTAACCAAAAAAAAAATATAGAAAATAAAATCATAAAAAGTGGCAAGAAGTTTTTGGAAAAGCAAATGGTCCATTTTCAATACGAAAAAAATTGAAATCTTTTAGTCAAATTTTCACCTACAAAACCAAAATAAAACAAAAAAGAATACGAGTTGATTTTGGCTTTCAACCCCAAAAAAACCCAGCATAAATATTACTCCGTTAGCTGAATTCACATAGAATTCAGTCAGCATCAATAAACATGTACAAATATCTCAACCATAAATACACCACAATGCACAATTTCATTTGCATTTTGTATCGCATTCAATTTAGATTATTGTGTGACCAAAATACATATTCAAAATACCCACAATGCAATCGCAAAATATTAATAAAGTCAATGTTCGATGTGACAAAGAAAGTTTGAAACAAAAAAAAATCGAAATATAAATTGAAATATTTGTACTATATATTCGATGTTGTTTTTTTAGACTCATAAGATTTAGTGCAAAGAGGAGAACTGCAGGAAAATTTAGTTTTTTTTTTGTAGTCACTTGTATTTTTGTTTTCTCGTTTATGTTTTCAATTAACGATGAAACATTGATCCCAAATGTCCAACCGATATATCGAAAAAATTGATTTAAATGTAAAAACAACGTTAATTTCTCAGCAAAACATTAAAGCAATGAACGTTTCATATCAAAGTAGCTTGATCATTATCAACACACTCTCTCGCTCTCAATCTCTGTGTCTTTCACTTTTTCGCTCTCGCTCTTTTACCAATTTACGCGCGCGTTCGTATCGAATAAAAATTGTCTCCAAATCAACCGAGATGTAAATTTTGAATTTGGTTAAAGACAAAAAAAAACACAGTTGTTTAAAATATTATTTACATCTTGGATTGAAGGCGTACAAAGATCAATTGCAAAACATAAAATATGTGTGGTTTTTAGTTGAGCATCTTCGGGCAATATGATGGATGATCGTATCGTTATTGTTCCTGTTTTAAGCATTCTGAAGCAAAATTCGATTCAATTTTATGTATCACATCTAAATAGCTACTTTAAATTCCGACACGACTTTAAGACATAAAACCAAATCTACATAATATAAGGAAACATTTTCTTCTGGAAATAACAAATTATTGATGAAGATTTCTTGAGAATCAAAATGAAACCATTGAATTGTATCCTTTTTATGGCAAAGCGTAAAATAAGCCGCGGAAAACCGGTAGATTTCATGTCAGTCAAGAAATCTGATTTTCTGCTTTCGGTAGTGAAGAGTGGCGAAAACTGACAAAATTCATTGGTTTCTATATGTAATTGTATTAGAATTGCGGTAGTCAAAAAAGTTTAAGTAATCAAGTTAAATACTTATTTTACGCTCTGTTTTATAGGCAAAGACGATTTCAAAATGATCTTTAATAATTTCCTTCTGATTTTCATGTCCATCTTTTAATTTCACAAAAAAATTGATTTCCAAATGTTAACAAAATGAAAACACATGAACTCTATTCTAATCGAGTGTGCTGTGATAAATTTAACCCAGAAACATTTAAATCGAATGTCGGAATATAAAAAGCTGTTTGAATGACATCCTTAAAATATGATAAATGCCCTTCACCATAAATATATTTTATGATAGAGAAAAAAAAGAAGAATTTGAATGAAAGTAAATAACACAAGCGAATTGTTATCGCTACAATTGACATGCAATTACATAGACAAATGAAACTTAAAATATTTTCTATAGCTTTCCGCAGTTTATAAATAATTTGAATGGTAACTAAACTAAGGCTGATCGCTTTCATTTTCATTTGATCCAGTATTTACGATAATATTTCTTTGTTCGAATATTTGCGTTTTATGATATTACCAAAGCGTGTGACTATGATATACTTGCTTTTTTTCCAGCAGAAGGGAAGCAACGTGCAGAACCAAAAGAAAAGAAACACAATCGAACAACTCAATTAAAATCAATCATTTGAATGTGCTATCTCAATGAATTCACACTCTTCACAGTGCTTCGTGCGTTCCAAAATAAATGTAACATTCATTTCGCATTTCAATTCATTAGTTCATGCAAAGCAATACACGAACATGTTGTTTTTTGCTTTAGTTTTCTTTTTAATTTCTACAAGTGGCATCATAGCAAATACATAAAAATAGATTCATATTCTAAAGCGCGTAACGTCAAATATTCGAAGAAAAATTATGTTATATCGAAAATACTGTTATTTTGTTTCACAATTAGCAAAATGTAGTTTGCGGTTTGTGTACATTAAAATTTAATTTCCAAATAAAAAAAAATAAGTAAAAAAGAGCACTATTAATCAAGTATTCAAATTTGAAATTTAAAAAAAATATATGAAGAAAGTAGTTTCAGATAAAAACAAATATGTACCTCCTTTACAGCATTTTGTGCAGCTTCTCGATTGGTAAATGTAACAAATGCATATCCACGATTAGTTCCAGTCATTGGATCCATCATCAAACGCAGATCCCATATTGTACCACATTTTTCGAATAATGGAATCAATTCATCTTCGAACATGTCTTTTGGTATCTTTCCACAGAACACCTCACAACCATTGCCAGGCGTAGGTCCGTCCCAATTCGGTGGAGGGCCACCATATTTTCTTTGACCTACACAGACGCATACGTACAAAGCACAGAAGTGGTCATTTATTTTTGTTCATTTTTGGAATGTGATTTGTTTGCAGAAAACAAACGATCATATGAATTATGTTTTAATTACCTGTTGTAACATCGAGTGTGTATCCAGTTCGTTCTAGGATTTTTTTTATTTTTTCTTCGTCTGGTCCTTTTGTATTTACTGTGGCGGTTGGTGTCGGAATACCCTGTTGACTGGCTCGACTCTTCTGTCGATATGTTTTCATAACACCACATAAATATGCCGATTTGTTTGATACATGTTCCAAATTCGATTCGAGAAATTGGCTCAATACGTTTAAGGCACCATCAACAGGAAATTCGCGAAGCGCATCCAAAGCACGTTCATCTAATTCTACATGGGCTAATTTTCCAGTTTTATATATATCGTCTAATTTGGCTGCCACCTAGAATATTCGAATTGAACATATTTTTTTGCCGATTTATTAACCCTGTCGATGTCTTTTGCGGTTTTTTTCTTATTTTGAATCGTTTGTTTTGAATTTAATTTAAGTGTAAATTTTAATTATTCATATGAATGTATAAAAGATAGGAAATTTACTCGTTTGTCTAGTCCATATTCAACTAGTTTTGGGTAATCTGCTGTCCGCTCGGGTTCACCGTTGCCATCGGTTTTTTGGGTTGTTGCCATTTCTTCAATAATTTCTCCGTTTCCTTCAGCCATTTCTGTTTCGATTCACAAAAGAATAGAAAAAAAAAATTAAACATACAAATAATTCAATTCAAAATGATAATAATAATATGTATATATTTTGTGTTGTTTTTTTCTCACATTCTTTCTGTATCTAAATGCATTATTTTTAATTTGTACAAAACAATCTGACAATGATAGAGATACAGACACGCTCAAGAGGCGTTTTATTGTCCCCGAGCCATATCATATAAGTTATAGCATATCGAATATTCAGTATTCAATTCGAGTATGCTATGAAAAAGAAGAAGAAGCAGCAGCAGCAGCAGCACCATTTAAATTAAATGTGAATAGTCAAAAAGATACAACTATATACTACAGAGCATACACTATTCGGAAAGTGTATTTTTTCGCGCGCGCGGGTCTGTGTTATGACATCATCAACGTCGTTGTCGTAGTTTCGTAGCGGAATACGCATATATACCCGACGTAATTCAGTCAAAAAAGCTGATGCAAAAAAATATATCCAACTAAAGTATTGTCTTAGGTTATGGTTTTCGGTCGTTCAGTATAACGTTGGTTGGCGCGTCTCAGTGTACAGAGCGGGCAACATTCGGCGCTCTATTTGCAAGTGTCTATCGTGCCTTCGAAAAAAAAAACACACCGTATAAATGATCACCGGTGCCGTTGTAACTTGTAAAAGGCACATCTTTTTTTCACTCTCTCTCCATTGCAGACACGTACACACACACAAACACCAATGCATGGTCATAAAAAAAGAGTACACAAAACAACGAGTTCAAAGTATTCCCCATAAAATGAGACGCAGATGTACGCTATTATAACGTATGTAGCGTACAACATTTGCGCACTTTTTTTTCACTCTCTTGATACACAACGCTTTTTTGTTATGTTCTCTTTTTTTGTGGTGTTGTTGTTGTGTCTCATTTTATTCATAAATTCATGGTCTCTTTTGTGTACGCACAAGAAACTTCCCTTATTGTGCTCACGCGTATTTCAATAGCCAAACACACAACTAAAAAAAACTTGTTGGTATGAAATGACAATTTCGAGTGTTTCTTTTAGGGAGTTCGTGCACACTTCAATTTTACGCACATTCCTCACACTCAATTCGTGGACGGTGTTCCGAATAAGAGTGTGGCACATAAGTTTTTGATTTTACCGGCCTTTTACCCTAGAACATGTTAATGCAACATTTTCGTATTTAAAATGAATATATATTTAAAAAATAAGAACGAAGCACGCATACATACACAAATAAAAAAACATATACACTGTAAAAAAGCGCAAACATCCAAACGACCAATCAGCCAAACAATGAAAAAAAGGGAGACCGACGCTGCTAGCAAATTGATTGCAAATTGCAAGAAACAGGACAAGATTTTTGTAAACTACCGCATAAAATCAAATATGATTATTCAAATATATGTGAGAATGGGCCTTGCGTCTCGAAGCTTCGCACGTTCATTCGGGGGGAGGTCAATAAACTTTACAACTTGTACACGTTACACCACATATTATCCGAATTAGTTAGATGTTTAAAGCACTAATCCTGACACTATGAATTTTTTCGTCGTTGTGGTTTTGTGTTTCGTTTTCTACTAAAATTACACAATATTTAAACAATAGAATTATGCATACTTTTCTGTTTTGAAAATGCTCTTGTTATATTTGGACACGATTATTAAGTATTTTATCTCTTTCTCGCGTACACACATACACACATACACTATTTTTGTGTTCAGTGCCACCAAAACAAAACGATTAAGATTAAAATTTGAGCAAAATCATTGCAATTTGTACAAATGAATCGCACTATTCCCATCGACGATGGAGTAGCGTCAGTCAATGTTTATTCAATTTCAATTTCGATTTTATGCTATGCGTGTAAGGATGTGTATAATGCCCAAAAAAATGAAAGGTTTTTGAACTAGGAAGTAAGCGCATGGTGCAATGAACACATAAATGTTAATGTCTAGCTCCTCACTTTTTGGGACCGACGACAATAATAATAACAACAACAACAAAGTGGGAATGTAATCGAATGCGTGTAATCCTTTTGCCTTTCTTGTATATAGAGAAATTCACAAACACCAAGCAACACAATGCTCCGGCGCTGTGGTGTGTTTATGGTATTTTGGAACACACGCTGCATTGCATGGAAAAGATGGATGATGCGCTTTTCCCTCATCACATTACTATATACATGGAGAAAAAAAGGAAGAAAAATAGACGTCGTGCTATGTTGGAGCTGCTGGTTCTCAATCGTCTCTGTTATGCGCAATTCATTTCGCATTGAGAGTTGGTGTTCTGTCTCGGTGTCATGTTTATGTTTACGTGTCTGCGTTTGCAATTTGTATTGCCGCGGATTTTTACATGCCAAATTATGTAAATAAATGTGCTACAAACGTGTTATATTTTATCAAAATGCACCAACACACAAATGTCGAACGACCGATACGCTATGATTTTTCTTTCTCTTCTCCTCCTCCTCCTTCTTCTTCTTTTTCTCCGCTATATTCTCTCTATCTCTGTCTATTTGTATTGAATTCTTTTTTTCGTTCGTCTCGTTTACTTTAACGCTATCACTTTATCCATGAAGTTCGGCCATGTTTTCCACTGTCGCTAAATACATTTACAAAATGTTGAATGTGTGCATAACACTGAAAGTATATAATAAAGATTGTAGCACTCCAGAATTTGGTTCCGGTAGATATATTGCAACTACCAATATACTATTTCTGTTTCCTTTTTCCCGTCTGGCATGCTTGCCGACTGACGGAGTGCAATCGCTCTTTTTTTGTCTATTTGCACGGTGTGTAGTATGTGAGCAAGTGAGTGAATGAATATGTTTGCCTGGATGTTTGTTTCTTTCTTTCGCACTGTGTTTACATTGAAGAATAATGACAAAAGAATTTGAACTACGAAAAAAATCTTAGATAGTAAAAGAGAATACCTATCCACAAAATGTATGATTTGAAGGAAAAAAACTCGTGCACGAAAATCGATCGTCAACACACCGTTGAATCTTATTTCTTAATGCCGTATGCTTCGGGTTGTTTTCGTTAGTGTTTTTGTTGTTGTGGTTGCCGATTGAAGATTCTTCGGGGCAATAATAGAGCTGAATAAGCGCGCGCGACACCAATAATTGACACAGGAGAGAGAGAAAAAAAACACAGCCATGCATGAGAACAATGACCACGGCAATGACGGAGACAAGTAGTGCAGTTGCGCGAAAACTGCTCAACTGCTGATATTACACTATGAAATGTCTGCTGCATTTTCAAACAAACGTACAAAAAATGTATATATGTACGTAGTACTTAAAGCTTTGTATAATTTGTGGCTTCTATTATGTGCATACAAGGATTCAACATTTTGTTACCTAAACGTAACTTCCTTGTGACGGGACTCTCTCTCTCTCTTTATTTATTTCCCATTTCCTTTGTCTCGAAGAATGAGTGACTATCACTAGTATTTATTTAATATGTATGTTAGATGATTTCATCAAATTGGTTTTTGAAACGACTTCACATGGCTGCATACAATATATGGTAAAGTAAGCGACGAACAAAGACGCCGCTACAAGTTGTGAGCAATAGAGAAGAGACCGGACTGAATTTTAGATTTCGAATCAAAATCGATACTATTTGAAAGAGGTATAGTTTTTCGGGTTTTTGTTCTATCTCTTGGCAAGTTTTGCAATGTACTCACAGAAAGGTGTGAGTGTCTGTATTCATGCTTTTTATTACAACTTTAATGTACTTGGCATTAATTTCTTTTTACCGCAGTAATAAATTCTTATTTGTTTCAGCGTTTTCTCAGTTTTTCTAATTTAGTTTTATAATAATTTAATTTTTGTGCAATTAGATTTTAGCAAACGGCAATATGATTCATTGTACTATTTTTTTATTATCTTTCTTTCTTTCTTTTTCTACTATTGAAATAATGATAATTATATAAAATCATCGGTATACTATACATAAAAGCGTGGCCCAAATAAATATTTGATGTTGGATTCATTTTGATGCTCTAATAAAATCGATGAGGACACATTTTCTTTTGAACGTTTGCATGACTTAGGCGAATTACATTACAAAGTGATGATGTTCTTAGAATGCCTGATATGGAATGCGGCCAAATGTTAAAGAAACTGCACATTTGTACGTATACACGCAAACCGACATACACACAGCCAAATAGACATATGCACAAAATACACACGGCCAGTTAGTCAACCAGCCTAGTGTTCGATTTATCCAATTTTGCGCTGCTTTTTTTAAAACGAAATATGTTCGGCAGCTTTTGCACGACGAACAAGATAGTTTGAAATATGCACAGACACATATAAAATTGCATATATGTTGTTCAATGCAATGAGTGTGTATGAACGCACTATGCACAAATACTGCACATGTGTATGGATGCGTTATTGCGGTTGCTACAATGCATTCGTCTGGCGCGCTTTGGGAAGCACAGAAAAAAAGCGAGCGAGAAAAAAAATTAAATGAAAAAAGAAGAGAACAAAAAATACGACAATAAAGTTGTATGTATTAGAAAACAAAATGGTGGATCACATTTTAAATAAAAAAAACAGTACACATTTTAAATGCACCAAGAAATTGTAGAAGAGCTTCAATAAAATAAAAACCTGTGAGGTTATGATTTCATTTTTCATCTTTTTTCTTGGTTGTTTTATTACAGAGATATGCTATGAACATTTTTCTTTTAAGTTTCTGATGTGCACCCATTCGAAAGTGGAGTTGATTCGAGAGATGCATGCATGCGAACATTGAGGCGGTGTTCAAATATAGTTTTAAAAAAAATTGTAAATATGAAAGGTCAAATCAACATAAAAACTGTAGAAAAAATTATTGTATATCAAAGCGCGCCAAGATCGCTAAGAATATTTGTAAGTGTGAAGCTTTTTTGTGCAATCGTTTGAAGAAGCCACGTGTAAATTATTCAATCCCTTTCGAAAAGCAAATTATTGACATAAAAACTACGGTTTTGG